TATATATATATATATATATATATATATATATACTTAATGTGGATTGTGCATTTTAAGGCTTTTGTGGTTTCTTGTAACAGTAGGTAGCGGTTATGATAGTAAATCTGTAGCTTTTTCGGTCTTTATCTGCAGAAACTTGATAAAAAACAGACAGACATTTTGCTTATTCATTTACTTTTATTTATTTATTTGCGTACTTAGTCATTCATTCACCTATTTATTTATATAATTATTTGTTTAACTAATTAATTATTTGTTTATTATATATATTTGTTCAAGTTTTTATGTTTGACACTTTTCCTTTTTTTGTTTTTTTTTTTTAAATTTCATTTGTCGAGGGTTTTATTGCACAAAACGCCGGTCGTATATTGTTGGTAAACCAAATAGCAAAGAAATAGAAGTGTTCAAAACGGTTGTTGATGCAGTAGCGGCAAATTATAACTTGAGTTTCTAAAAAAAAAAAAAAGTTTTTCAATTTTCTGTCATATGTTAAGCATCGCCAACTTAGCAAACAAAGAAAAACAAATAGATAGAATGAAAGAAGAAAAAAAAAAAAAACGTGAGATCTGTTTTCCTAATTTACTTATTTGAAAACAATCATCTTTTTCACTGGCGAGGCAATTTTTGAGGAGAACTGAGCAATAACATTTTTATTATTTTCTCATTCATTATTCATTATAAGTCAATATATAAGAAAAGAAAAGAATGTGATTTCTTTTTTTTTTTGTTAGAACTAAAAGTTCAGATAAAAAAAAATTTGATAGTTTCAATTTGTTAGGGCTGAAATGATTAAGCTGTTTTCAGATCACCAACAATCGTTGTTGCACTGAAAAAAAAGATTCCGTCTTTATCAACCGGCAGCATTATTGTTCATCAAATTTTGTAGTTTTGCTCACATTGCTGCAATTATCAGGGCGAAAAGTTAATAGTTGTTATTTTTTAGAAAATTTCTTTGCGGAACAGCTACAGTTTTCTTCTCTGATTTATTCTGTCAATAATCACTTATATCATTAAACAAAACTTTTTTATATTTGAAAAAAATATAAATTTCTTCTTTTTTTCATAAATCGCTATTAACGAGACGTTAATATTATAGAGAAACTGTTGCGGGTGAAAGTGGTGTTTTATCATTGAACTAAAATCTGAAATTTGCAAATTTTAGTGAATTTTAGTTACGCTATTTATTTATTTATTTTTCTTTTTTATTTTATTTCATGGTCTATAAATTTTTTAGATATCATTTATGGAGCGTTAATCAAACAAATGTTCAAATACTCGTTTCATATAAACCTGACCCTCACTGTTACTGATTTGCCGCAGTTATCAGGAACTGAATAGCTGAGTGAGAACCATTTAAATGATGAAGAAATTTTTACTTCGTTTGTAACTTGATTAATTTTGTTATTTTTATGTTGCATCAGTGTACGTTGTCTGCAGATCAAACAGGTAATAAACATTTAGATTCTGTTTTTTTTTTTAATGCATTCATGTTTTTTTTTTGATATGAATTTATTAAGATAAGAATAGTGGTAGTCACTGTTACTGTATGGGTCTAGTTTTTTTTTTTGGAAAAAATGTGTTTTTTGTTTATTTAATAGTGCAACTGAAGATTGAATAGGTGGGGGGAGGAGAAAAGAGAGAAGCGTCTTAATTAATAAGTCTTGTGTACCAGGCTAA